GGAATTAAATTGGTGGACATTGGGGGTGAATTGGGGTAATTAGGCCTTTAAAGGCAATTTGGGGTTTTTGGTCAAAATAGGTCAAATTGGTCAAATTGAGCTCATGAAGTGGTTTAAATTGATTTTGGGGACATTTGAAGTGATTTTGAAGGTTTTGGGACAATTTCAGTCATCAAGGGTATTTTGGTAATTTTGGCCAAATGAGGGGTATTTTGGTAATTTTGGAAATTTTGGGATGATTTGGGCAATTTCGGTGGTTTGAAATGATTTTTGAACAAATTTGGGTGCTTTGTGCAATTTTGGGAATTTTGGCCAATTTTGAGTTTCAAGGGCAATTTGGTGAATTGAGTAGATTTGGGGGCAAAATGCTAAGTTTGGTATTTTGGTAAAATTCGGGTGTCAATCTCCCTACTTGAGCCATGGACCAATAGAATTCCCTACATTGGGTCCTTCATATACTAGTCTTAGCTAAACCCTAGCCTAGGGCTAGTGGGTTTAGGGGACCAAGGGTTAAGGGATCAACATCAGGTAGGCTTGGGTTTAAGGTTGTAAGTGGAAGTGTAAAGTGCAAGTGTGTGTGTGAGACTGACCAAGACCACACCACCAGAGGGTTGACCCTAAGGCCAAGCAGTCCTATGGGGACTCAGCTTGAGCTCCCACCTACTAAGTGCTAGAGATTAGAACCAATAAGTGGAACTTCAAGTTAAGCAAAGAAGAGTTTCAAATTTTTAATGGTGAGGGTTCCTTTCTAGAACTCTAGGAATAGTCAACAGGAAAGTCAAATGACTAGACCGTAGGCTACTAAAGAGGAAAAACTAGACCTCAACCAAAAGTGAGGTCAACTCCCATGTCGTTGTGTCTACTAGACACTTCAAAAAAGTTAGTGAAACTTTACATATGCATATATAATCCTATATATCTATAACAAAGCGATAACAATAAGGTAAAAAATAAAGATTTTCTTTCATCATTGTTTTTGTTACATCGATCATTTTGAATGCTTCTGGCCTTATTTGGTACAAAAAAACCCTTTGGATTTAGACTAAATTAACAAAAAAAAGTGCAGTGATTTGAGAAGATACTAAACGTGCCATAATAACACAATAAAAAAGTACAAAAATAGAAAATAAAATAAGATGTATCATCGCAATAATAATGCATGGCAAATATATATTAGATGAAATTTTTAATGTTTTGACATAAGACACTTATATAATAGAGTTTAAATATAATATGCCTTAATTATAGTAAATTTGCCACGTGTATAAATGTAAATATCTCTATCCTAACATAAAAATTTAGCTAGAATAAATATGTCTAAATCTGCCAAATAAACACATCATATAAGACTATAGATTGCAAAATAAAAAGATCTTTTGCCAAAACAGCAACCTAGTTACATTTTTTTTTTTTTTGCTAACTAACAGGTTATACCTAGCACTTCATCTATGTATCTACAAAAGCCTCTGATATATTGATACAAAATAAAACTGTAAGAATATATATATAAATATAATGGAAAATTTTTTGACTTTATATATGACCTAAAATATTTAAATCATATTTTACAAAACTTAGTAATGTGATATGACCTAATTCTTTTATATTACTAAATAATCACATATGATCTAGTTATGGTAGAATAAATTTTATTATTAGGTGAACTATCATTCAATAATAACGAGGTTAACCTATCATAAAGGGATAAAGTCTTAAAACTAAATGGGATCCTTAACAATTAATTTGTGATGAATTATCTCATAAAAAAATAAATGTTCTAACATGAAAGTTGATAATAGAAACCATCAATTATCATGCTTTAGCTTAAAGGATTACATACGATACACTACATGGAAGATAGAGGAGTTTTAGATGTTTAAAAGGAGCTCTAAATAGTCTAAATCTAGGACTTGTCCAACTAAATATAATCTAATTGGAAATTTCAAAAATGGCCCAAATAAGAACGTATAATTAGAACCACTAAGCATCAAAACATAGGATGTGGCCAAAAGATAGAATGTCATTATCAAAAGTATTGGATTAGGTTAGAACAAAAGTTAATTAAATATAATATTGTATAGCTAGGTCCAAAATATTATCGTAGGCATCTACCACTAAGAGGATGAAATCTTAGAAACTTCAGAAGAAACTAACACTATTATGATGGTTGAAGCTGAAGCTTCATTAAGAGAGTGACAAGATGAGACTAACCTACAAGATGTTACGATCGAGAAAGGTGTTATATCATGCACAAAAAAAAAATTAAATCAATTATGATAGAGGGATGAAGTAGTAGAAAGAACGAAGAACAGATTGATGAGATAATGAATATTATCCCTATAAATCAAAATTTAGTCTCAATACTAGTACCTACGTATCACCAAGATGTTGTAGTTGAAGAACATATTCCAACTGACACAGCTCAACATCAGTCTTATGAATTAAGGAAAAGTGATGAGCATATTGAAAGACAAGAAAAGAGGATAGAGAAATTATTCGCTTCAACGCCCTTGGTCAAGAAGAGAACTCCAACTACAATACTGGTAGTTGGTTTTATTTTTGAGTTTGCAATTCTTTAAAATAAAGAACGAACAAATCTTAAATAGTTAATTATTTTAACATCCAAGTAATGTTGGAGGAACCTATGGCAAGATTGGTGTTTGGGTGATCTCAAATGCACTTCCCTTGGTTGTTAAAGGAGTTGGAAATAACATGGAAATTGGTTGGGGTTCATCCAATGGGCGTTTGACAATTGGAGGGGTAGTTAAACACAAAATAATTGGTATCTTAAATGGGTTCTTGAGTGCCTTGAATATTGCTTAAATTTGAATGTTAATTTACCTCAAGGAGACTAATTGTACATATATTACTTAAATGGGTCAAGTGAATCGACTAGGGATAGGTTGGGTCAACAATTGTTTTAATTCAAAGATAATGACTAATTAGCATGAATATGACAAAATTAGGATCAAAGAAAGATTCTAGATTAATTAGTGGATTATCTAGGAACCTATGGACCCAAGTGCCTAAATGGACAATCTACTAAGCTAAGTCATGTATGGTTTAAGCTTACTAGGCCTTGCTTCACTCAGGTCATGCAAGCTTTTGATCGATTTATCTTCCTAATTAGATAATCAAATATGCCCAGAGTTAAGATTGGGTTAATCATTGCATTTAAGTAACCATGCTTCACTGAGGTTGGTTAATCTATGCTAAGGGTAACCTTGTCAAGCTAAATTGTACTAGCTGAGACATACAAGTTATACTAAAGTTGTAGTGCCATAATAGATCCTCCATTGGGCCAATAATCCTAAGCTCTAGAGAAATATGCCTAGTTGAAAAGATTGACAAAGTTAAGCCATAAAAGCTTAGGTTAGGCATAAATTGGTCATTATGGAACCTGGGTCATCCAAGTTGATATTTAGGAAACATAAGGATGATTCAATCTATGTTGATCAACTATGTTCTCCAAGGGCATTGATGGTGTGAAATGCTAATTAATTCTATCTCAATGCCACTAATGGGTCATCGGTTGAAATAAACAAGTCCCAATACCTCCTATGTATAAAAAGATGCCTAATTAAATTCTTAATACTAATTAAGGGCAACACAATAAAAGAGAGCGTACCTAGATGATTCCATCATATGAGCTCAATCAATAATCAGAAGCTAATATGCTATATTACTTTACAATATCTATTGAAGATGTAAAATCTAACAAATTTTAAAAACTATTGCTCTTAGCACGTCAAGAGATAAAACATATCAATAATGTATTATATAATTTTAATGATGTCAAATTTAAAAATAGCATGTTGATCATTGTATTTCAATTCAAGTGACAAGTATGCATAAATGACACCATGTCATTGTTAGTGTAAATATCAAACTTTAGATGTTAGTTTTGTAAATGCATAAGAATTGTGTAGTGCGCATGTAACTTTTCCTACTTGATATGCACAAACATACAAACGATACAATTCTTTTGTATTTACATATCTAACATCTAAAATTTATTGTATAATTTACAATTGACTTTTAAATTGTTTTTTTTTTTTTTTTTTTTTTTTTTGTATAATTCATGCTCTACAATATAATTTATAATTGACTTTTAAATTGATTTTTTTATTGTGAATAATTCATGCTCTACATAACTTAACGAGCTGAACACACAAAATGTGACACATTTGGATAACTAGTTGAACCAAACAATATTTGAACTTGTTCAAGCTAGACTTGTTTGCACCCAAAAAAGAGGTTGAGGTTGAATGGAAGAATGTTAGATGAATTTTATGATGCCTCTTAGCATCTGCTTGCAGTGGGATGCTTTCTTCATCTTCTTTAAATGGTTCTTTCAGCTTTAGGAATTCATCTGTCGATCATTGCTCCTTCAATTCATAGTTTTCTTGCTGAATAGATAGACAAGTGTTACTATTTCATAAATAAAAGCCCCTTTACTAGAAATAGAGGCCTTAATTTGCTATTGTATAACAAAACTGAATATAAAATTAGCCTAAACATCATGATGAAAGAATCTGGTTGAATTCACATTTGGCTCTGAACATGGGTGAGCAAAATGAAGTCATGGATGAGCTATCTAATGCTCCAAATTTCTATTTGAAGAATGTTCTCCCTCCACTCACTTATTCGGGATAGTGGACTCGTATAAGACCTTGGGGTCATATAAACGCGAGAAAATTTGCTCCAATATTTGGGCATTTAAATGCATACCACAATATTCATATATATTTACATATCTAGCACTTAAAGCTTTCATAGTTATAATATTAACACCCATCATTAATATAACTTGAAAAATAATACTATCATTAACTTTTTTTTTAACAAATATGTAGTTTCATACAGAAGTTTATACACAGAAGTATTAGAAAAATAAGTATAAAAATTTGGATGTTAAATACATAAGAATTGTGTGGTATGTATGTAAATCCTCCAATTTGTTATTACTAGCACGGAATCTTGTAATTAGAATAGCAAGAGGACAAGTGTTCACGAAATTACTTTCTAATGTGGCAACTGCCAAACTTCATATATTGGGCAAAAAAAGCTCGATTACTACAAACATGTACTGGCCAATAGCTCCAATGGTATTTATAAATATATTATGTATAAATCAAAAAAGAATAGCCCACTTTGGGATACAAGTGCAAAAATGGTAGCAAACCTTGTACAAGAATAACCAAAATAATGCTGATCATCCCTGTTGTATTTGCTTATTGAGGCAAGGAAAGAAACAACCTCAGAAGCTTATTCTGCTTGGATCGGCAAAGTAAAATTGCACCAGTAAGTTTGAAGCAGGTGATCTTGCAAGAGACAAGACTTGAGTCTTAATGATGCTTTTAGGTTCCCCTATTTCTTTGTAGATGTGGAGGTTTTCAGAGCATTGATGGTGCAAGTCTCTGGCTGCATGCTCAAATATTTCCATGGCTTTAGCAGGTGGTAATCTGTTGTCGCTACATTCCTGCATTTAATTAAACTAATTGTTATTTTTAGGGGGGTTAACATGTGTATCATATAATTCAAATATACATACATATTTAACAATCAAATCTTAACATTGACTTGTATAAAATTTTAATGACATAAACATAAAAAGTATGAGTAAACAAGTGTGTAAATTAATATTAGAGGTGTATTCATGTGATGTTAAGGATTTGAGAGTCTCAGAAAATATTATATTTTAGGCATTAGATATGTAAATGCAAAATAATGTGTCATATGTATGTAAATTCCACCCTGTTTTATTAATGTATATGGATAGTAGATAAGGCCCACCAATATAAAGGCGCAATGCATCTATGAATACTAATATCTTTGAATAGCTTAAAAGCATAACATACTAACAAAACAAAGATAATGAATACCAACAAGCATCTAATTAGATTTCAATAGGCATTGTAAAAAATAAAGGAGCCTTGGCAGATGTGGTTTTCTGTAAGATTCCTACCAAAACTTTTTCTATTCAATAACTCTTTAGGGTCTTTTTGGGGCAGCTCCAACTGTTTGAAGAAGCAACTCTAAAGCTGCTAAAGAAGAAGCTATGAAGGTACCAAAGCTTTTTCTATTTGTTAATTCTTTAGGGTATGTTTGGGGTAGCTGCATCTGTTTAAAGAAGAATCTGTGAAGCTGCTATTCAGAAAGCTGCGGTGGTTGTTACATTTTTTTTTTTTTTTTGGAAAAAGTCGAACCGTAGCTTTGTAGCAGTCATCACAGGTAACCATGTATTGTGGGAAACTCACCATGCCAAAGTATTTGGCACCATGAATTTAAGCAATAAAATGGTGTTAATTTTTATTATGAAAGGGGGCACAATGTTAAAGATTTCTATCTTCTTTGCCACAAATTTCATCCAGAGAAACAAAAGGACCTTTACAATAACAACAAAAATAACAAGCCTTATCCCACCACATAGGGTCGACTATATGAATCATTTTTCTCTATTGTGTCCTATTGAGTGTCATATTTTCATTGAATTCTAATAGATTAAGATTATTTTTTATAAAAGACGCCCAAATCTTTTTAGATCTACTTCCGCTTTCCTAACATAACTCGAATCTAAAACATCTACTCCCCTAACTGGATCAACAGATAGTCGACGTTTAACGTCAACAAGCCATATAAAAAAACTCTCTCATCTTCTCTGACACTGGAGCTACATCAATCCTTTCATGGATAGGTTTGTTTCGTATTTTGTCTCTAAGTGCGAATGATGAAGGAGATGATGCGAGAAATGACAACAAAATGTCTAATAAAAATACTAGAGAGTCAAATAGATATGTCCATCTGGATCTTGAATGGTTCTTTTATGATAGTACAACTCTTTATAACGTTGCAAACTCCCTCTTAATATTCATTTCATAATTTCTTATGATCAAGGCCTAAAATTGTCATATATGTATAATTTAAGAACTTGAGTGTTGAAGGAAGAGCTAAATAACATTGAAGGAATCTTTGAGAAATCTTTGAGAAGAATAGGAAAACTTGTAATTGGACCGGAGTGGCGATTACCTTTGAATGCTAATCTAACATCAAGATAGAAACTTGATCAATATTTTGGTTAATAATGTCCATGACATTATTTTCTTAAAAAATATTAAATCATAAAATAAGGAGAGGATGTGAATTAAAATTTTGAATTTCTTGGCAAAGTCATATAACAGATTACACAACATCTAGTGGATCAATTTAATACAAATAATGCAAATGCGCACAGTGATAGGGAAAAATTTAATGAACATAAAATAATATATGTATTGGACATCATTTGCTCCTCATTGTATATATTTGATTATAAGGAAACCTAGTGATTTCCTCAACATAAGAACAAATTGAGCAGAAAAAAAAAAAAAAAGGTAACAAAGTTCAATTATAATTTTTCATTAGTTTTAGCAATGATGAGAACATTTTTAAAAAAGGAATTCCAAAGGCCCGCCACAATAAAATTTACTACAAATTACTAGACACTGAAAAGAATGTTAAAAGCAAGGCAATCCTATTGCAGAATAGTTAAGCTGAATTAATTTATATATTATCATTTACAACCGTGAGAGGAACAATGTAAAAAGTTTATATCTATTAAAATACATCAACATCAATAACATTTCTAATATACATGCACAAGTACCTTTGCATCCTTATCTAGTACTATAAGAAAGTAAACTCTATAATATTCAAAATGCACATGCAAGCAGTTTATATAATATTATTCATATATTCATATCATTCAATTCAATATAATCTATATATTTTTAAATAATGTGCAATTGTTAGTAGTGTTAAAAATATATTATTTTTACGGCAACATAACTAATAATTAAAAAAGCATATAAATCAAAATAAAATTGTGCAACTAGACTAAAGAAATATAAGTAATTATTAATGTAATTTGTTTAAAGAAATAAAATACTCCAAAAAATTAAAAGTAATACTCGCTTCAATCTCAGATGATTATCTTGCCTATATATTATATCATTTTTCTCAAATAGACCCTTATAATCATATATAGAAAGTATTTATTAATTTATTATAATTTAAACTTACTATTAACAAATAGAAATGAAATATATACTTCTAGGGTAGCCTGTCCAATTGACTTGCTTCTTAAAACTGAGTTGAACAAGTTCGAAGGGCCAAGGTCCAAAGGCAGAGTCTCAAGAACTGAGTTTCAAGCCACGCGTTGATCGATTTCTGAAAGCTGATGTCTATGTTCTAAAGGAAGAATTCCAACCGCTTAGTTAGCCGAGTTCTAAAGTCCAAGTTCCAAGGGCCAAGTTAGTCAAGTTCAAAGTGCTGAGTAGGCTAAGTTCCAAAAGCAGAATTCTAAGTGTTGAATTCCATGCTCAAACTGCTTGAACATTAATACCTAGTCAAGATTCAACATTTTATTTGTTAGTTCTTGCGTTTTAGTATTTTGCTTGATGTCATAGCATAAATTTTTAAATTCATATTTGTATAACACTTTACTCCATGATTTTGTATTAGGATATTAACATGTTACTTTTTATTTTACACAATTTGTTATTTCTTACTATATTATCTTGTTGATATGTTAGTTTGGAATATGTTAATTTAGTAGAAATTTAATATATATTTTTCTTCTAATGTAAGGCTTACACTTGAAAGTGCCTACGTTTCACCTTGCAAACAAAAAATATCTAATAACCCAATTTTATAAGTTTAAGTATGTCTCAATTTTAATTGTTGTGCACAATTTTATTAAAAAAAAAACATACACAATTGGAACTCTCCTATTAAATCCTGCTATTTTGCTACCTCAAGTAATTGACATTTCTTTGCTAGAATAAATATTCAAAAAGATGTCTAAGTAAATCTTACACGATAGTACCAAAGTATTATTGCCCCCCTTTAAAATTTTTATAGTAGGATTATTATTGTCAGGTTTTTGAATTTTTTTTTGTTCCAACATTTTAAACGGTTATCGCAATTTTTAGTTAAATTTTGCTTTCTCTCTTTTTTTTTTTTTTTAATAGTGAAAAGCAGCTTTTTATAACCAACTCTACTAAAATATGGAATTATAAGAAAATATTACTCAACTTTCTAAAAGAAAATACTTTATAATCCCCATTATAACTTTCTAAGAGTCTACATTCCAACAAAAACTACAAAACATTTACAAATAATTATAATTGCCCAAACAAGTTATAAGTAGCTCATTCATAGGCTATTGTAGAAAAGATATTATACAATAATATGGGTAAATTAAGAGGTGTTTGCAAACACTTGGTTAAGACATGACGTGAAAACAGAAAATTGAATTTGTTTAAAATAATACTAAATTGTCATTTCCCACCAAAATTTGTGAATGCCCTCCTAATTAATTTCAAATTTAAAAACATAAATTCCCTACTGCAAGTAATTATAGGCCAATTAGTCATTACAACCTTGACCATAACAATATTATCATTTTAAAGTTCTCGATAGTGAGTTGGTGCCTTTTTTGCTTAAGATCATATAACTCGAGTGAAGTTCTTTCATCATTGGAAGGAGTAAACATTATAGGGGGATTTACATGCATAACACTCAAAACTTCATATTTTCTGTATTTCACACGTCTATTTCACAAGTAAACTTTTAAATTTACACCATTAGCGACCAGTTTAATGACATTGCTGCACAAGAATCAAACGTTGTAGGATGTTTACTAGGGAGCAAACTGCATAATTAAGTTAAAACCATGAAATTAACCAAACTTGGATATACAAAGATATAAACATCATCAAGTAAGAAGAGCTCAAGAAGGAAGAAAAAAATATTTAATATGAATATATAAGTTAATAAAAGAAACCAAAACAAGTACCTTAGAAATGAAACACCAAAAAATGAATCTCGAGATTTGAGAAAGGGATAAAAAACATGCAATGAATACATAGATGACTGAAGATAACAACATAACCTTGCAATTAAAATGTATCTAAAGCAATAAAGAAAGAGAAGAAATATAGAAGAAAAGTCAAACCTCATCCAAGATTCACAGCTGTATCTGCCAAGAGATGCAAAGCATCAAGATCAAGCATTTAAGCTGTAGGGGATAAACAAGGAAATAACATGTTTTGGTCAAGTTAGATTAATTATAAAGATGAAAGAGAAGTAATATGGAAAGAAAAACATTACTAAAACAAAAAAAATGATATATTTGAGAATCTATTAATAAGAATTAAAGGCAAAAGCCCAAGACAAACATTTCATGTCAAGGAGAATTAGGATTAAGATCATAGAAAGTGGATAGTGTTAGAAATATATAACTAATATTATCCTTTCCCTTTTACTAAATATAATTGAAAACTACGTGGACTGACCTCACTTCCTAACTCTTCAATTTGTTATAGATACATATTTTGTTTGAGAAGTCTTTTGAAGTTCTTTTGGAATCAGTTGAATATGTATGTAAATGTATTGTCATCACTAGCATGCAACACATTTAATTCAAGAATGAAATTTTGTTTCTACTCAATAAACATGGGTTATTCGGGCCTTAAGCCAGGTCATGGACATCATCACTCTACTCCAGTCTAGAAAATGCAACCAAAAAAAATTTTAGTTTGCTCACTACATCCCAAAAAGTTAAGTTTGATCGAATTTGAAAACTCATTTGAAGACTTGGAATGGCCTTTTCAATACTTATCAAATTACATTTTCTCACAAAAAGATCCTAAAGAAACATGATGAATTTAAAATCATAACATTTCAAAATCACATTTTTGCCAACCATTGCCTAACAAGTAGATGTATCATGCTCAACATATTTTAATTGAAATTAATTTCAATTAATCAAATTTTATGTACAAATTGTGATATAAAGTATGTAGTGGACATGACTTTAATATGTATACAGACACATACATACTTAGAGAGAGAGGGACAAATATAAGCAATGGTGTGAAAAATGGGCAAGTGTACCTTTGAAGAAAGGTTTCCGGTACTTTCTTTTCACCTATGTTTTCGTGATTATTTGACTTACTTCCAATGCCCGTATAGTCCCTGTTAAGCCTTTGAAATCTATATTATGGGTCCCAATGACACAAAATATAAGCAATGAGGAAAAATGGAGGAAATTATACCTTTGAAGAGAGGTTTCCGATACTTATTTCTCACATATGTTCTTATGATTTTTTTCCCTACTTCCAAATCTTGTATAGTCCCTGTTGAGCCTTTGAAATCTATATTATGTGTCCCATCGTCGGAATGCTGGATACGTGAAATAGAGTAAAGTAACTAAGATATATTAAACACAAATTCAATTTCCATAACAATAACACAACAGTCACAAGAAGAATATTCCCAACAGGAATATGATGGGACAAAGAATCTCACCTTTCTTTCAACTCGAGAAACATGAGAAGGTTCACTTCTAGTTGTTGTTCTCTCCAAATTTTGAGAGACTAATGGAATAATTCCAATTTGAGTAGCTTCCATTGATATTGGTATAGCCAAATAGGCTCTCCTATTGGCAGCAACATCAATCTTTGGTTCTGAATCATGCTCCTTTGGTAAATATAAACTAGCATCTGTATTTTTATCTTCAATTTTGCATGAAAACGATGACCTTCTTCTGACATAATGGAATTTGCAACTAGGAATCAAACCTGAAAAAATTCCGAACTTCATTACATCTTATAAAATTATTATAAAATAAAATTAAAAAAATTTCCACAAAATAGTAAATGGTAAGGAAGAAGGTAAAATTACTAGCATCTAAAAATATAAATAACTAGCATAATGTGTTATGTGAATATTTTATCAACTAGAATATGGATTAGAAGTAGCATCAGTATACGCAACTTCTATGAAGAAGTGAACATTTCTCAATTAGTTACAACCTGAATGAATTACCAAAGCCCAATAGCAAATAAAATGGAGGAAGAAGAAATTTGAACCAATAGATAGGACAAAAGGATTAAAAATTTGAAGTATTATGAGACAACTACGTAATTAAGTAATTAAAAAAAAAACTTGTGAGCTTTTTCTCATTTCACTATTGAAATTATCCTTAGTTTCTCTAGTTATAAATAATTGGGCATGAACTTCATTAATTTAACCTTCTTAAAACTTTCACAAGAATAGGATGAGTATTAAGGCTTGCGGGTGTTACATTGTCAATTGTAGCAAAATCTATTTTAAGATTAGGCTTGGATAGAAAGCATTTTTATTCAACCGAGCAAAACCCAACTGAAATCCATCATCATTAATCTTACCACAAGTTTCCAAATATTTATCCCCGACAACCTAACTATACTCTTAATTTTAGAAATTGTTATTCATATAAAAGCCAAGAAAGCCTTGTATTGAACCAAAATACCAACACATATTATTATTGAGAGTTTCCAAGAGATTCACTAAAAATAGAAAATATTACCTCCTTTTTGAAGTTATCAGAAATAACATGACTTGCATTTTTACAAAGAAATTTCATGAGCGAATTAATTTGTCATGCATGGCCTACAAATCTTTTTGTATGATTTGAGAAAAAAATAATGTAGCATATACAAACCTCTAAGATTTTTCATCTTTAATAAGGAGTGGTTGTTTGACAACTTTGGTCTATCCTTGAAGTACTCAGGATGAGAAGCGCAAGGTGTTTTATCCTTATCTTCTTTAAATTTCTCTATATAGCTACCGCAAGTTTTCATATTACCTCCGGCTCCTTGCTGATGATGACTCCAAACCTGTAAGATTGAAACAACTGTATCAAACAGAAAACAAAATTATAACACTAAACTAAAGAGGAAATTTTACAAGCTAGTGGTGAAAGTTAAAATTCTATATCAGATTGTAAATCTAAGAGCTACAAGTAAGGAAATGAGAAAACAAAATAAGGAAATTAATAAAATCAAACAAATATCCTAAGAAAAAAAAAGGAAAACAATGAAAAGATGTAGCATTAAAAATCTTCAAGATTTGAGTAACATCTCGATTGACTTAGATGTCACAAAATTTGGATGCATGAATGTTAAATTTGAAAATTTCCAATCAACTGATGAACATACTATTGCATCAACATGGATTTTAAAAACAATGTAAATTACAACATTACCCAAAAAGTCTTTTCAAGACCACATTTTGTCACTTTTATTATAAGCCATTTGGCAAAATTTATGTTAAGTTAAACATGAGAGTGGAAATAGTGCCACGACAAAAATACAAGTATAAGTCCAGTTTTGTATTGACTAAAGTTACGAGTTGACAATTTTCCACCAAAAAAATATATTAAATTTAAATTTGGCCCCAAGAAAAATTTCCAAATCCTCTCGTCTAATTGGGATCAAGCATTACACAAGGTTTGCAACTAGTAGATTTTGATGACCTCTATCATGATCGAACAACATTTGAGAGCAAGTAAATCTAATGAGGGCTCCATGAAATTGAGTTGAATCTTGGTTAATGACATTTGATTGTATTACAAAGCTAGCATTTGTGGGTTAATGATAACAAGATACTGTTAAGGTAATATGAGAATGAATTTGGTCCCAAATCAAGAGTAAAAAAAAGATTTGAGTCCTTAATATACTAAGAGTGATGTTTACCCCTTAGCTCAAGCTTTTGGGTATAAGATATAACTTAGGACCTTAGTGATCCACCCTCCTAACAAGTTGAACATTCTACCGATTTCATTAACATGAGATGAATGCAAATACAGTATGGCACTTGAACCCACTATAGAAAAAAAGATACCTCGTATTAGAGCAAGTTCCATTTCAACTTCATTAAAAATTAATGATGTGCAATGTTTACATCAAGCTAAGCATGAAACATACACTATAGATATTGAGTCACTACCTTCCACGGTGCAATATTATTTTCACTTTTCTAAGTGAGCGGATAATGGATGATAGGTTTCTATAATAGATCCTTCAACAGTTGGTTCAAAAAAACTACTTAATAACAGATAAAGCCTCTTTTTGATGTTATCCAAGCAAAGAATGAAAAAGCCTCTTTTCTATGTAATCCAAGGCAAGAAAGAAAAAAATATTTATAGAGAGGTAATTGCATGCATCGAAGATATTTTAACATCAGGAGAACCATACAAGGTGTTCCTGTGCGTAGAAGTACAAGATCAATAGTTGGATTTAAAAACCATCTTTTTGGTGGAGCAAGCTAAGAAAAAAAAAATGTCACCCACACAATTCTACACATCAGCGTTAACGAATCCCAAAAACAAGATTTAGAATTCATTTCTCACTTCTTCAATTTTCACGTCTTTCTTTTCACGTAAAGTCCCATCACTTGCATTATTAAAGGCCACACCCACATCCTGCAATCTTGCTCCACCTACTTCAAGAACCTGAAACATATATTAATCAGCATATCGGAACAAATAAAAATAAAGCATATGAATGGATTTTGACATAGTTTCAAAGATGCAACTTATCAACCAAATAATGCACGCGATGAGGAAAACAACTAAAAGAAAACCTTCTTCTGATCGTCCCCAAATTTGCAGAACGAATTCTCCAACTCTTTCTCATTACATACTGCATTTTCAGTCAAGCACAATTTCCTTTTCTGCAGAAGACAAGCTGGTTTTCATAAATTCCTATAAAATCTTTATGGAATGAAGAGGAGACTAATAGAGGATTCAGCAGCAAAACACCAATCCTCAATCTGAATCGATGATGCAAAAGAATATGGTTTAAGAAAAGAAATAAAACAAAAGTATAGATGGGAAAAGAAGATTAACCTTTATCGGCAGAGCCATTTCCTCCGGCGAATCATAGAGTGGAGGGCGGCGAGAGCGATTAAGTTTGTTTTGCTCTGCAGTAGTCATGAGTGGGACGCTATTGGGAGCAGTGCTGTTACCCATCGAGAGCTCTTGCTTGCAATATTTCGTTGGAGTTTTCAGCCCGCAATGGCGCGAGGTTTATAGGAACCGGGGTGGGACAGTGGCCCGTGGGATGGTGAGCCATCTGGCTGTTTGTTGGCCGTGCCTGGTCTTTTTCATCCTATAGTTCAGGAGCTCTCTAACGTAAACACGTTCAAATGATAATTTTCGACCGGATAAACAATTCACAAAACATGTAAGGATAGGCCATGAAGAAATATAAATAATAATAATTACTTAAATCGATACAATCCTACCAATAATGGTGCCTCAAACCCATCCTTAGAGGATTGTGTTGGCTTGTTGAAGGATTCTCCATGTAAGATCCCTAAGCTCTTATATGATTTTATCTTTTGAATTCATTGATGCATAATGATTTTTCTCTCCCTTAAGATTTGATACGCCATAAACTGGCACAAATCAAATGAGGATTTATTATTGATGAAATATTATATTATTTTCTTTATTATATTTGATGATTCTGATCTATAAGGGTCTATATTTTATGACATAACTCACTCATTATCAATCATAGTATTGGCGATCCATCTTATAATATCTATAAGATCTTCATGAAAAATTGGAGCTCTACTAGAATTTTACTTTACTATATGTTTCTTAACCTAGGGTTTGTTAGTAAATCTTTAGTTGATCATAGGCCTACTATATAAGTTAATAATCACCAAGTTATATGGAAGGAACTATCTCCCTCCCAATTTCTCTCACATAATTTTCTCAATAAATAACATTTATGATAGTTAGTTGAAGTCAAATTAGAATCAACAAATAATGTCATTTTTGAAATACATTTAGTCTTTCTTCAATGTTGTTACATTCATTCCAAATCAAAGAGAGAAGTCTTAACCCTAGTTAGGCTCAATTGTTGTGTAGGAAAACTAATAAATAAAATCTTGTTTTCTTAAATAAAATTAGGCACACTCATTTGTAACCCTCAACATTTATAACTTTGATATTAGGGATGAAGAAACCCTCTAATGAGACTCTCTTATGATGGATTAGTTAATATTCTATTATTAAAGAGGGATCCTTTCCAAATAATATATGTTGTTATACCCTTTAATTAAGAAAGGCATGAGTATGTGAAAATCATTTTTACTTTGATAGATATACCTACAATTAACCATAAGAAAATTTGTACACCTCCTCAAATTAATATGACATTCAAGTCAATGATTTATTAGAAGTGAATAGATATGCCTAGAATTGGCTATGATATGTTCATACTCGCTCTTTAATCGGATTTGATAATGAGGCCAATCATTTAAAATTAGTAATTTCTTTCTTTATACATTATTAAGTAAATAAACAAACAATAAAAAACATGTAAAACTTGAATTCATCTGTCAAGCCTGTCATCCAACCAATTGAAAAATATCATTATGTTCAAATAGATATTGAGACTCAAAGAATGTGCATTAATTGGGGAAGTTTTTCATACTTATGCTATTGACGTGTACGAGTGATGTTATAACAATTTTTCTCTTATATAAAAGATTGTATAAGAGAAGATAAGGAAAGCAACTACTAATAAATTTAGTAAAATTAATGTGAAATATTCATGTAATTCAAATCACCAAGGCCAAGTAAATAATCAAGATACATTCATTCAAGCACATCTCGAAATAAATGCTCTTGATTACTGATAGTATACTTGTATTTAAATTTTTTGACTTAGCATTAAGAAACTATGGTTTAAGGAATGTTATCCCATTAGAATAAGATATGTTTTGACATAATTTGTCCTTAAGACATAGATTGAATCATTGTATCCAAGTGATGCAAATATTTTTCCACATTAAATCACTAAATTACCAAAAGCTAATAAATTATAGAAAGGGTTATTTGTATATGTATAATGTAAAAATAATAGGATTCAAATAGCTTAGCCATGATTTCATGAATCCATTATTTTAGATAATTAAGTAAAAGCTTAGTTGCTAATATAATTGTCCCAACTCAGTTATAAGATTTTTTGTCTTCTATTGTAGATTGTATCATCCAAAACTAGTCTCATGATTTTAGATTGAGTATAAAGACCTAGACTTCTTAATAGATAATTTATAGGTGATTGATTATAATGTTGGTAGGTATTATAGTTCGTAGTAGTAAAAGACAATGACAGCAAAAGAGGAGAATGAGATAGCCAAGTTATACACACTTAAGTAACTTAACTTGACTCACAATCATATTTAGGTCAAGACGATCACTTCCAAGCTTATGAAGATCTATTGACGTAGTAATTCAAAGCATGCATATTTTATAAGCTATATATTAAAGAATATGATATAAAATGCATATTATCTAACTTCAGATGAAGAAAACTCTTATATGTATGTGAAATTGGCCATATTATAAAAAAGCACCATTGCTAAAAGGGTTTTAATTATTCGTAATTTCTTTATGTACCTCATATAGAAGATAGATAGAAAACATGTTAAAATTAAAAGTTGATCAAATGGGCCCTAATTTTAACAAATATCTTTTATAAAACAATGTTAATTCTATAATCAATATATTCAAAGTTATAAAAAGAATTTTTAGTATAAAATCCTACTACAAGTTATATAAAACCTAACAAAACACTGAAAAAATAAAGAAAATAAGTAAAAAATTAATATATATATATATATGAAAGTCTAAAACATTGGACCAAGTCGTTGTGTAATAATATAATTTGTCTTCATTGCAGTATATTTGTCATGTGTCAAATGTAAATATCTCTGTCCAAATATAAAAATTTAGCAATAATAAATATATCTAAATTTGCCAAATAAATACATCAAATATGACTATAGATTCCACAATAAAAGGATCTTTTGCCAAAACATCAGCCTAGTTGCATTTTTTTTTGCTAACTAACAGGTTATAACTATCACTTCATCTATGTATCTACAAAAGCCTTTGATATATAGATACAAAATAAAATTGTAAGAATATATATATATATATATATATATATTGTATAAGATGATACCATTGATCCATCAAACATTAAAATATGGAAAGTTTTTTGACTTTATATATGACCTAAAATATTCAAATCATGTTTTACAAAACTCAGTAATGTGATATGACCAAATTCTTTTATATTACAAAAAAATCACATATGATCTAGTTATGGTAGAAAAAATTTTATTATTTGGTGAACTATCATTCAATAATAACGAGGTTAACCTATCATAAAGAGATGAAGTCTTAAAACTAAATGGAATCCTTCACAATTAATTTGTAATGAATTATCTCATAAAAAAATAAATATTCTAACATGAAAGTTGATAACAGAAACCATCAATTATCATGCTTTAGAATAAAGTATTATATATGATACAATACATGGAAGATAGAAGTGTTTTAGATATTTAAAAGGAGCTCACAATAATCAAAGAGTAGGACTTGTCCCGCTAAATATAATCAGTTTAAAATAATAATAAATAATAAATAATAAATAAATAATAGAAAATAAAAAACACAGATCTATAAAGAAGAAAGCTCACATATAGGCTAGAAAAAAAAATGTTTATAAAAAGTTTTGCGTAATCTGTTTAAAATAATCAACAAAAAAAATCAAGAAGAAAAATCTTTACATTGCTAGAAAATCTAAAATATGTTGTATTGAGAACCCCAAAAAAGAGGTTCAGGTTGAATGGAAGAATGTTAGGATGAATTTTATGATGCCTCTTAGCATCTGCTTGCGGTGGGATGCTTTCTTCATCATCTTCTAATGGTTCTTTCAACTTTAGGAATTCTTCTGCCGATCGTTGCACCTTCAATTCATATTTTTTTTGCTGAATAGATAGACAAGTGTTAATATTTCATAAATAAGAGCCCCTTTACTAGAAATAGAGGCCTTAATTTGCTATTGTATAACAAAACTGAATATAAAATTAGCTTAAACATCATGATGAAAGAATCTGGTTGAATTCACATTTGGCTCTGAACATGGGTGAGCAAAATGAAGTCATGGATGAGCTATCTAATGCTCCAAATACATCATGATGAAAGAATCTGGTTGAATTCACATTTGGCTCTGAACATGGGTGAGCAAAATGAAGTCATGGATGAGCTATCTAATGCTCCAAATTTCTATTTGAAGAATGTTCTCCCTCCACTCACTTATTCGGGATAGTGGACTCGTATAAGACCTTGGGGTCATATAAACGCGAGAAAATTTGCTCCAATATTTGGGCATTTAAATGCATACCACAATATTCATATATATTTACATATCTAGCACTTAAAGCTTTCATAGTTATAATATTAACACCCATCATTAATATCACTTGACAAATAATACTATCATTAATTTTTTTTAAATAAATATATAGTTTCATATAGAAGTTTATGCACAGAAGTATTAGAAAAATAAATATAAATATTTGGATGTTAAATACATAAGAATTATGTGGTATGTATGTAAATCCTCCTATTTGTTATTACTGGCATGGAATCATGTAATTAGAATAGCAAGAAGACAAGTGTTCACGAAATTACTTTCTAATGTGGCAACTGCCAAACTTCATAAATTGGGCAAAATAGCTCGATTACAACAAACATGTACTGCCCAATAGCTCCAACGGTATTTATAAATATACTATACTATGTTAAAATCTAAAAAGAATAGCTCCCTTTGGGATACAAATGCAAGAATGGTAACAAACCTTGCACAAGAATAACCAAAATAATGTTGATCATTCCTGTTGTATTTGCTTATTGAGGCAAGGAAAGAGACAACCTGAGAAGCTTATTCAGCTTGGAACAGCAAAGTAAAATTACACCAGTAATTTTAAAGCAGGCGATCTTGCTAGAGACAAGACTTGAGTCTTAATGATGCTTCTAGGTTCCCCTATTCCTTTGTAGATGTGGAGGTTTTCAGAGCATTGATGGTGCAAGTCTCTGGCTGCATGCTCAAATATTTCCATGGCTTTAGCAGGTGGTAATCTGTTGTCGCTACATTCCTGCATTTGATTAAACTAATTGTTATTTTTAGGGGGATTAACATGGGTATCATATAATTCAATTATATATACATATTTAACACTCAAATCTTAAATTGACTTATATAAAATTTTAATGACGTAAACGTAAAAAATATGTATAAACAAGTGTGTAAATTAATATTAGAGGTGTATTCATGTGATGTTAAGGATTTGAGACTCTCAGAAAATATAATATTTTATGCATTAGATATGCAAATGCAAAAGAATGTGTCATATGTATGTAAATCCCACCCTGTTTTATTAATGTACATGGATAGTAGATAAGGCCCCACCAACATAAAGGAGCAATGCAT